CTTCCCCGTACTCTTTGACAAGCTTCCACATATTAGACTTCTCATCTGCATGAACCCTCAGGTGTTTTTCACAATTGATGTTGAAGTAAAGTATTTACCACACTGATCACAAATAAATGGTTTTGTTCATTAGATCGGTTTATTCTTCATAATTGCATGTACTATCAAAACACAATGTGGGAACTACAAGAAGTAAATCATATGAATATTTCTAATTCAAGACAGATCTACTGATGACACGACCCATCCTGACAGATTCTGCAAAATAACCAGAAGGAAAGAAACAGATCATTATTTACACGGCAATAATTATTTTCTGAAGCTTCAAACACTCTTTTAGTTCCCTGATCAGACTACAGACAAGCCTTAGTTCTCTGAGCATTTCACCAAATTCACAAAGTTAAACAAGATGATTTTGTGCTTTGGGGAGCAACTCCTTTAAATCTACAACTTGACAGAATAATACATGAAAACGAAATGTATCTCATTGTGACGACTTATGCAAGGGTTGAAATGAACTTTTTTACTCATCGGACAATTTAGCTACTCATTTTTTTAAAGTTAAATTTAAAACGTTACCGGCCATTCATAACTTCTATAGCCCCCCAAAAAAACAGAATAACTAAATCACAGCATATATATCAAATAAAATTTGGATTGTATACATTCATTTCTTATTTAAAGAAAATACTGTCATCCAGCCATCTTCTCCCTTCCTCTGTCAACATTTTGATTGATTGAAATCTTTATTACAAACTATTAAAAAGAAAGAAACATAATTGAAATACACAAATCAGTGAGAAAAACAACAACAACGTTTTCTAATGTTAGCCTAACGTTAGGTTAGAGATTTTAAAGATAACGTTCAAATGCGTTGTTGACTAGAACAGATGTAGACATCCTTGTTTAATTTATCCACGTTTAGTTGGTGTTGTGGTCTAACTTATTTGCATTACTCAATCTAGAGCAGACACTTATCTCCAGTGTTGTAGTACTCGAGACTCGGACTCGTCTCGGACTCGGTCTCGAGACCATATTTTAATGGTCTTGGTCTTGTCATGGACTCGTGTGCGTACTAGAACATTTTATTTTTTAGGACTCGGAATTATTCCCGAGTCCACTCGAGTTCAATTCAAAATATTTTTCATGATTATTAATGTATGTTAATAAAATATTTCTTTAAATTGATTGACACGCCCAGTGATTGGTGTTTTTCTAGTGCATGTCATGTTTTTCATGACAAATTGTAATAAAATTACTTCTAACACCACCTACAATGTGGCCTTTTTACCCTAAACTGATCATATTTTTTAAACTTTAAGTAAATTCAGTAAAATAAAAAAAGGATTTCTCTAAGTAAATAAAAGTAAATTAGGTAATCAACCCTCACTGGTCTCGTCTCGGTCGACTCGGACTCGACCGTCTCTGGTCTCGGACTCGACTTGGACTCGACTCTCTATGGACTCGGTCTTGACTCGGACTCGACTCTCTCTGGTCTCGGTCTCGACTCGGACTCGAGTGAGGTGGTCGCGACTACAACACTGCTTATCTCGGTTGAGATGTGGTTTGGGAAAGGGTAAAAAAACAAGGTAAAGAGTTTCAAGTAGTTGTTAAAAAACATCTTGTTAAGATTGCTTACATAGACTGTTATGATTAGTTTTCTACTGTGCTGTACTGCAATGATTATTACTCAGTACTTCTGTATTTTACTTGTTTTATTGTCTTTAGGTTTTAGAAAATCACATTTTAAAACAATGTTATTGTGTTATTAGTGATTTGACAGCGTTACAGGCCACAGGTTATTTTTACCCACATTTGGAGAGGCGGGTGTTAATTTCAAACCCCTGACTTATGATATTTCTTCATGTGACTGAGAAAACATGAATGTCTAAAACTCTTATCACACTGAGAACAGTAGTACGACTTCTCTCCAGAATGAAGACGCTTGTGTGATTTCAGGTGTCCCAACTGAGTGAAACTCTTGTCACAGTATGAGCACTGGTAAGGTTTTTCTCCAGTATGAATTCTTTGGTGTTGTTTCAGATTGTCAGCTCTAGTAAAGCTCTTCCCACAGTCACAACACACATGATCTCTCACGTCATTGTGTGTTTTCAGGTGCAGTTTAAAAGTGTACAGCCTTGAATAACCCTTTCCACAGAAAGAACACACATGAGGCTTCTCATCTGAATGAACTTTCAGGTGTTGTTTTAGTTGTGATGGTGAAATAAAATCTTTCCCACACTGATCACAGTGAAATGGTTTTTCTCCAGAATGAACGAGCAGATGATTCCTGAGAGTTGATGATTGAGAAAAACTCTTTCCACACTGAGTGCATGGATACGGTTTCTCTCCAGTGTGAATTCTTAAGTGTATGTTAAAGTTTCCTTTTTGACTGAAACTCCTTCCACACTGAGTGCAGGTGTGCAGATTTTTGGCTTTTGTTTCTTGAATCTCAAAGTCATGATGTTCCTCCTTAAATCCCTCCAGTTCTTGTCTTTGCTCTTTCACTTCCATGCAATCTAAAATAAACATACAAGAATCAGTTCGAGTGAACCTTGATTTAATATCAGAAAAAAAGAGTTGTTCTGTCATTCTCTTGTCAATATGGTCAAAAGTGTGTTTGAAAACTGTATCGCAGGAAGTATGGGGTGCGATTAAAAATAAATATAAAATGTCTTAAAAAAGTTAAAAGTAACAAAGGAAAAAAGTGTAAATGAAACAAACAAAAAAGTAAAAAAGGGAGAGAAAAAAAGCAAAAACACACTTTAATCCTCTGTCCCCGGCAGAAGATGATGACACCTGATTAGATCCAAACAAAATGGGTTTTATTTACAAAATACGGGCCTGGTTTCACAGACAGGGCTCATTAAGCCTCAGTTTAAATAGGACATTTAATTACAATCATTACGTTCCTGTGTATATTGCTTGAAAGACGGGTGGTGTTTGGGCAGATATTGTATTTTCCGGTAGGTGGTATGTCATACGGAATAGTTGCCACAGCTCGACAGCCTTAGTCAAATGGGTTGGCGTATATGGTTGGCTTGCGGAGAGATTGTGAGATTGTGGTTAGGTCACATGTGAACCACGATAAAGGAGCAAACTCAGTAGCAGGGGGGGATGTAGAGGTCAGTAGGCTGGGCTGAGTTGAGTGGGGAAGGAGGGGGCTGACTCTGGGATGCCTGAGTCACCGTAGAGCCATCTTAAGGTGTCGTGGGCTAGTCGACGAAACACTGTGCCCACTTGAAGACCCTAGAGATGTCCCCTACTCCCAGACTGATCTTATGAAGTAGCGTATGTATGACACGCCAATTCGTATTTCCATTTTTGGCGTGCTATCAAGACGCATAATCGCTTTTCAGCGTGTTTATGAACGCCGTTGACTTAACGTTATTACTGTATATATAAATATATGACCTAAACCCCGCCCCTAAACCTACGCGTCACTGGGGTTAATAGCATTTATGACTGTTCCCTTACCATCCTAGGAAAAAAAAGATCGCTCCCGAGATGTAGATCTACATTTTGCTTCGTTTCCCTCGGACATTTGACGGCGTGTACGGATACGCGGAATGACGCAGACGTTAATGGCGTAGACATACACGCATACACACAGATAGCTCAAAATGCGTCGAGATTACACGCCACTTGACTCAAAATTGGTGTGTATGTTTACGCAAAAGTCATGATGTCATGTTGCCTACTCAATACACACGGTTGTTGTGCTGCTCCACTGGGGAGACCACACTGTAGTTGCAGCCGTTGTGTATGCTAACTAGAGCCCGACCGATAAAGGATTATGAAGGCCGATTATCTGCCAATATTTTATTTTTTTCAGAAACGCGCAACAAAGCATTAACAGATTTCCCTAGAGTTTTAACGAAAATAATATGATAATGCATTTTAAAAAAGAAACTTGTTTCTTTTATTGTCACAACAGAACAGACTGATGATAGTGTCATTAGCTAGCTTTGTGGTTAGCTAGTCTATGATGAGCCATAATTTAGCAATGGATTACGTCATACTGCAAATTGTAAACTTACATTTTCCATATGCCAAGGAGAGATGATACGTCTCATTGCTATAACCGTCACGCGCAATTAAAGAAATACTTCGGTCACATTGTCAAAAGTTAAAAGGACAGTCAGTCAACTACACTGAAACAACGAAACTATTACTAGCTAATTCCGCTTCACTCTCAGCTTATTTAACAGCAGCAAAACTGGACATGATAGTCACAAATTTTGTCATGCTTATTTGAGTTAAGAGAACTGATGGGGATGTTCTTTTAATTGTTATTCAAGTTATGTCTCGTGACCAACTCGACGAGTGTTGCCAACAGGAACGGTGTAGAGTGCCCTCTGGTGGACAAACTATACAACTCCAACACTCATGACATGGTCGAAGCGTGTTTTGTCTGTTTTTATTTTATTTTTGAAATATTCATTTATCGGCAATTATTTTGGAAAATGCCTAATATCGGCCTGCTGATTTATTTATTTATTTTGTTAAGCACAATGGTCAACTTCTGTTGTGTTTATGCGTATAAATACAATTACTGAAATGAAAACAATTAGGCCATGATGTGTCTGCCTATATCAGTTAGGGTTAGAAGAACTGTTGCCAAACATAACATGCTACAAACATAATAATTACTGCAGTAATTATCACATTTTTTGACTGGGCAGTGCATGTTGCCAGATTGCATATAACTTGCTTGTATTGTTCCTACATCACACCAATATAAAAAAGGGAACGTTGAATAACAGGGAAATCTTTGCACTTTTAATGGCATTTCTACCCCAGTGTGACAAGTAACAGTACTTTACAAGAAACTTCTACTTACCATCACTTACTAAAGAAATGTTACAAACGCTTAATTTTTTTAAACATTTTTTCTGTTTATTTCTAATTGCATATACTTTTAGAACAAAATATAGTACACTTAGTAAATAAGTAAATTACATGAATACATCAAATTCAAATCAGAGACATTTAGCACACGACCCATCCTTACAGTTTTTTTTTTTTTTTTTTGCAAACTAAACACTAGGAAAGAAACAATAATTATTTACACTTCAGAAGCTGAAGCTTCGGTTACTTCAACATCAAATGTAGACTTTTACTACCTACACGTATTTTATCTCAGAGAATTAAATTTATTTTACATAAAAACCATTACTGCTCACTTGCAACAATTTTTCATGTGTTTGAAGGCTTAATGAAGGTCTAAAACTGATAAAAGAAGTACAGTTTCTCTCCAGTATGAAGTCGCTCGTGTGATTTCAGATTTCCTGAACAAGTGAATCTCTTGTCACAATATGAGCACTTGTAAGATCATTCCCCAGTATGAATTGTTTTGTGCCATTTCAGACGACTAGATGACGTAAAACTCTTCTCACACTGAGAACAGTGGTACGGCTTCTCTCCAGTATGAATTCGCTCGTGTAATTTCAGGTGTCCGGACTGAGTGAAACTCTTAAGACAGTATGAGCACTTGTAAGGTCTTTCTCCATTGTGAATCCTCTGGTGCTGTTTCAGATGCTCAACTCTAGTAAAGCTCTTCCCACAGTCACAACACACATGATCTCTCACATTACTATGTATTTTTTGGTGCTGTTTAAAACTGTTCAGCCATGCAAAACTCTTTCCACAGAGAGCACACACATAGGGCCTCTCAACTGAATGAACTTTCAGGTGTTGTTGTAGATTTGATGATGAAATAAAGTCTTTCCCACACTGATCACAGTTAAATGGTTTTTCTCCAGAGTGATGGAGCAGATGAATACTGAGACTCAATGCTTGAGAAAAACTCTTTCCACATTGAGTGCATGAATACTTTTTTTCTCCAGTGTGAAGTCTCATGTGTCTTTTAAGATTTCCTTTTTGTGTGAAACTCTTTCCACACTCAATACAGTTAAATAGTTTTTCTCCAGAGTGAACACGCAGATGATTTCTGAGTCCAGATACATATAGGAAACTCTTTCCACACAGTGAGCAGGAGTGCAGCTTTTTGGGATTTGATTCTTGAGTTTTGAAGTCACAGTGTTTCTTTACTTCATATAATACTTGTTTCACTTCCATCTGGTCTGAAATAAACAGATTATGTAGTCAATAATCAGTTTTAACAGCAGTATTCACCACTAGAGGTCACTAATTCAAAACAAGAACAAAGATGTGGCTTGATGACGGGTGAATGAGCGTGGGATCATGGGAGTTGTCGTCTTCACTAGTGGTCGACCGATAAATCGGCCAATATTTTGCATTTTTACAATATAGGCATCGGCCGATACATTTTTCTGATTGGCTGAGGTTTTGGAAGCGGGACTTTTATTTTGACGGGCGGCACTGAAACAACAGCGCCATCTACATCATTTAAACAAATCTCTGAATATCTAATAAACATTTATTTTCACAAATCTTGCAGATTAAATCGAATCCAGCTGCGGTATCTTGTGAAGTGTGCATTTGTAGCCGGTAGGGATGACACGGTACCAAAATTCCAGTAGTCGGTACCGATACCATTAAAATGTTACGGTTCTCGGACGGTACCAATTTCGGTACCACAGCAAAAAATCAGTTAAAAACTATTTTTCCAATTTATTTAAGTATTTGGAAATTTTTTTTTAATTCAATTACTTTATTATTTATGATGGTAAATGTATGAAAGCATTGAAGGCTACGTGCTGTTTTAAACGAAAACATTGTTTTATAAACAATATTTCTCAATATCATCAATCAAGTGAAAAATAAATATTCTATGCACACATTATTAGTAGTATTTTTAATTAATGGAGACGTAGTTAAATCTATTGTAATATAATAATTATTTCTGTCAACTTCTTTAAGTTAAACTTAAAGTTAAGTTAAAGTTGATATTTATTTTGATGGGTTGCTGTAAAGACATTTGAGTTTCATTTTGCAGTTTAATATACACAGCCACCACATCAGCAGCGCCGCCGGTCGCCATGTCTCAACGCTTTCATGAAGAGGACGCAACTTCACGCCCTTCGAGCAAACGTCGCACTTGGTACCGTGACGTTTACATTTTTTTAGTACCGAATATCTTGGCAACACTAGTAGCCGGCATAAACGGCTGGGGACGGTTATGTTACATGCTGACGCACCGCATTGTAGCAAATCGCTCGGGTAACGTGCTTTGTGTCACTGCATCTGTTTGCATCACAACCACACATGTTGTTGATATATGAGAACCATAAAGAGACTGCAATGATCCTTCCAGTAGCCTATGGCCGAAGTTATGGGATTTTTGCTTTTACTAATTTCATTTCATTGATTTGGCGGCATTCCTGTTTTGTTTCTTTGTTTATCTTTAATACTTTACTTTTGCTGTAACCTTGTCCGTCTGCACCAATAAAAGCAACTTGATTGTTACTTTTGTGATGTTCTGGTTGTTCTTGCCATGTCACGCATAGCGTTAAAGGATTAGTTCACTTTTGAAAAAACTTTTGCTGATAATTTACTCACCCCCGTGTCATGTCCATGTCTTTCTTTCCTCAGTCGAAAAGAAATTAAGGTTTTTGATGAAAACATTCCAGGATTTTTCTCCATATAATGGACTTACATGGGAACCAGACGGTTCAAGGTCCAAAAGACGGTTCATAACAGTTTCAGATGCAGCTTCAAATGTCTTTAAACGACACCAGACGATGAATAAGGGTCTTATAATGCGTTCAAAAAGGTCACGGGCGACATAGCCGGAAGTACAGAATCAAAATCATCCGACATCGTTGTTTTACCTTTTAATTCCTTTTTTGTAAACGGCGTTTGAGTTCGTTTGCACGTTCAACCTTTAAACACTGACTCTGTACTTCCGGCTACGTCGCCCGTGACCTTTTGAACGTAATTACGTATTATGTGACGTTACAAACGCGACTCACAGAATAGAGCAAGGCTAGCATTTGTCCTTAGAAAAGTTACATTTTTGGAATAAGTTTTGAAATAACCGATCGTTTCGCATGATAAGACCCTTATTCATCGCCTGGTGTCGTTTAAAGACATTTGAAGCTGCATCTGAAACTGTTATTAACCGTCTTTTGGACCTTGAACCGTCTGGTTCCCATTGAAGTCCATTATATGGAGAAAAATCCTGGAATGTTTTCATCAAAAACCTTAATTTCTTTTCGACTGAGGAAAGAAAGACATGGACATCTTGGATGAGATGGGGGTGAGTAAATTATCAGCAAAAGTTTTTTTCAAAAGTGAACTAATCCTTTAAGGGCATCTCATTTAAGTGTTACGCAGTCATCCCATTTAAACATTTTTAAGCCCGTAACAAAGTGGTTCACATTTGCTGAAAGCCATTGCACAGGTGGGACAATACATGTTGGGATGACATGGGCTTAATCAGCAAGAAGCCATTCTTGTCCATAACAAAATTGCTGTCTGTAAGTGTGCCGCACACACTAATAACAAAATTGCAGGACTGTTTCAAGAGGAAACGCCAGGGCAGCTGTGGCAGCACAGCAGACAAAAGAAACTAAGTGTACTTTACTATCTGACAATAGCCTCAACGTTTGTTTTTCTCTACAGATTAGGGGTGGGCAACGATTAATCACGATTAATCGCATCCAAAATAAAAGTTTGTGTTTATGTAATATATGTGTGTGTGGTGTGTATAATTATTTTGTATATATAAATACACACACATGCATGTATATATTTAAGAAATATTTGCATGTATATAATTTATATATATATTTATACGCAATTAATATTATGTATAAATATAAATATTTGATATATTAAGAACACATTTTTCTTAAATATATACATGCATGTGTTAGTATTTATATATACAAAATAATTATACACACCACACACACATATATCATGTAAACACAAACTTTTATTTTGGATGCGATTAATCGCGATTAATCGTTGCCCATCCCTACTACAGATCATGCAGATTTTTGATACAGGGCAGAATAAACCCACTGAAATAATGGCTATGGATGAATTTGGCTAACACAGCGCATAATGAAGCAAGCTTGCCCTGTCCATCCCACACTAGGGCTGGGTATCGAGTACGATACTTTTTAGGTACCGATCGAACTGCAACTGCCTTGATTCTACAGGGTCTCGAAACATGTCTTGTATTTCGGTACCAAATTTCGATACCTAAGGGGTTAATAAAGTCAACGTCAGTGAAGCAAATAGCATGCAGCATTATTGGCTGTGGCGGAAAAACACTTACGTTAGTTTACGCGATTGCCCAGAGACGTGGCTCGCCACACGTGAGGCTGTAGTGTATGTGTGTGTGTGCGTCTCAACTCCCAACCCAGATAGATGGATAGAAAATATGTGGAAAAGGTGAAAAGGGTAACTTTCTATGCACCACACTCAATGCGAGATGCACACAATGCAATATTTTCGAGAAGATAAATGCTGCCAGGCACTTAAAAGCGCACAGAATCCACTTTAAAGTAGAAAGTTTATCCGTCTTCGAAAGCGAGAACTGGAGCGAGTCACAAATTAACCGAAACTCAGCGTATTGGATACTTGACTCACAGACATTTTCTGGGACCTCAAAGTGCTTCACATATGGAAGAGGCGAATCTGCTCAACCATCACCAATGTGCAGCATCCACCTAGATGATGCGACGGCAACCACATTGCGCCAGAACGCCCAATAAATGAGCCCTGCCCTGCTTAGCTTCAGTGGGCAACCAGTCTTGGGCTACAGGGTGATATGGCTGCTGTATATATATATATATTGTCGTAACTGCCAAAATTTTCATAATCGAAAATTAAAATAGCTGCTATATCTGGATTTAGACATTGTTGGAAATGTTTGGCATATATGAAGGTTATGAATGTTTAGGTGCATTTCTCAAAACTATCAACGAATCAAGAATTGACACCAACCTGTTGGTTCCTCGGTATCTTCTTGTTTTATTCTTGAAGGTTCTGGATAACTCATGTCTTCAATCTCCTCTTTAATAAACTCCATCTTTAACAGTCACACAGATTTCAGCTGCTACTCCTGGAGTTTGTCCTTCTCTTGTAGGATGATGGGAATATTCCCAGTATTTATTGGTGAATTGTGGGATGGACATCAGCTAGCTGCCAAATTCAAAGAGAATGAATTACTTCACTTATTCAAATTAATTTAACATGTCTGTTTTCTAGTTATAATTATTAAGAATTGGATGCTGTTGCATTTAAAACAAAGTATGTTTAATTGTCCAAAGACAGAGAAACAACAGGACTATCATGTTTAACTAAGCTGCTGAAAAGCCTCTTTGTCTCCAATAGATCCCTCTTTTTTTAACTAATTCATTATGGTGATGTCTGAGATCTTCTGTAAAGAGATCTTCTGCACATTAAGCTCAGTTATTGGTCTCAAATTCAACAGACTATGGAGGTTTCACCGACGTCACGTTCTGGGGGGTAACGCGCGGCCAGTTCGGAGGCACTCGGAGGTAAACAACAGCATGGACTGCACCGTTTATGTACTACTGAAAACATTACACTTAAAAAAAAAAAAAAACACGGAAAAAATATTGTTGGTTTAACTTAAAGTAAGTAACCTGGTTGACTTAGAATTTTAAGTTGATTGAACTGGAAAAAGTGAGTTAATACAATGAAGGAGATTGATTTAATCACAAGAAACTCAAAATAATAAGTTATCTCAACTAAATAAATTATTTAAGTTGATTTGAAAAAAGAAAAAATGTTGTGATAACAAATCTTGAAAATATATAGGGGAGACCAGGGACAGTTGTAACACTTTTTGCAATTTTTAGCAATACATCAAAAACCATTTATACTGGAATATCCAATTTGTTATATTATGAACTTCAATCAGTCTACTGCTGAAACAATGTATTAAAGTGGTTTTATGAAATATGTATAGGTTGCAAAATTAATTTCAATATAGTATCTCCACTGTTACAACCGTCCCAGTGTACAGGGACGGTTGTAACATATGTCAGGGACGGTTGTAACATGTCTAAAATATAGGCTACATAATGAATTAAATGATATAACCTACTCAAAATGGAAAATATTATGTATCAGTCATGTTATTGTGACTATTAATTTATCCAGTATCCAACTCTGGGAAGTGTCTTTGATCCCTGACTCCTCTTCTTGTGGAATCGGTGCAGGGTCACATGGCAAATGCCATATGATGACATTTTACATTTAATTTGCTATGCACAATGCACATTTTACTTTTAATTTGCACATTAAATGGAAACTATGCAGTTTTTTTTTAAACTTAATTAGTTTTTAAAATATAAACGAAACTTGGTTGGTGATACAGGGACAGTTGTAACGGGGCGTTACAACCGTCCCAGTATCACCAACCATGTTTTCATCTCATGTGAGCTAGCTTGACTGCTAGTTTGACACTTGTTAGCCATTTCTATTTTTAGCTGAAAAAACAGTGATTCTAATAATACTTGTTTGAATTAATACAATTTTTATTTTATAACAGCATCCAAAAAAGTACATCAGAAAGAAAAGTAATTTTTTTACCTCAAAAACAACCTTTTATTGATAACTCTGCCAGAAAGTTTCAACTGTAGCTCCCTTTTGGAAAAAAATGGTGGGAAACTACCTGAGCATGAGCAGAGTGAGTCTCATCACTCTAGGTTGTTTCTGATTGGAGGAATTCAAAGTGTTACAACCGTCCCTTGTTACAACTGTCCCTGGTCTCCCCTATATTTTTTTACAGTGTACCAGCCTCCTACAGTTCTGCAGCTCATTACGCAGTATAGTCCAGGGCTGCAGCTACACATTTCTATGTTGTACAATTTAAATAAAACAACATCTATTGCAAATGCAAACCCCTCCATCAACGCAATGTCAGTGCCATACTGCCCAGAAACTGCATGGACACACAAATCGGATCAGAACAGTTGCGATACAGTGTGGACATCATTTTAGATCAGATACAAAGATAATCAAATTTGAACTGACAGTGTGAATGTAGCCCTACTTAATTAATAATTCAACATTTTAGCCATAGTCAACGCTTCATTTACATATGTAAATTAACGTTATCCTCTCAACCACAAACGCTTTCTATCATCAGTTTTTGCACTCTTTTAGTCTCTTATCTTTAACTTTATGCACTCGAAATGTTTAGAGAACTCGAAATGTTATTTCCCGATGCGACCGATTAGTACAAACCAAAACTCGACCTTTCCAGCAGAAATAATCAACCAAATTTGCGAGTCCGTTCAGTTCAGTGGCATTGTTTATGTTCAGAGCCTCCAAAATGACCGACTTCCGGGATTGATGACGCGTCGTGAAAGACTTTTTTTAACTGTTCATGGTGAAACCAGTCTATTACCGAGTATATGGATATAAGCTCTCTACCAACATAATAGTACACTCGAATTAAAAATAAACCAGAACACACAATGCGCCTTGTGTTGTCCTGGTAACATCTCTCACCTGCAGACTGGAAATACGGCATCCGAAGAAAATATTCCACATTTCTCCTTCATTCACGATCGTTAACAGAGTCAATTTCAGCCTTAACTGGTGAAATCTTCAGCTCGTCTCTGGTCCTGTCCCACTCATCTATGCTTCATGTTCGGTCTTGTGGACTTACAATGGCTGCCGCGTGTCCGTATTGTCCCTTTTAAAGTCTCTTTTAAAGTCTCAGAATAGTGCGATAATCACGTTTGCCTTGACTTCTTCTTGATAATCAAAGTGTCGTTATTGACGAAAATGCGGACTCAGAAAAAGACCGCGAGTGCTTATGGTGCGGTTGTTCTTCATATTCTGCGCATCCTCTGTGCGCAGAGTGTCATGTTTCTTAAAGGGGCCGCAAATCACATTTCACATACGGATACCTGAACTGGGTTAATCAAACCTTATTATTATCAACAGAAATAATTTTTTGTGCCTAAAATTAAAAAGTTACCCAATAAAAACTTGTTTAACATAACATTAATTTCATAATGCGATCATGCTCATAGATGGGAAAACAGCACTTGTTTTGCTTGTAAATGTTGCTTGTTTTTACAGACATTTTTTGGTCTCTTCATCTTACAGGACAGGTTGAAACATGATAGAGATAAATTAGACTTGAATTTTGCCATTTTTTGAATAAATTAGTTTGGCAGAAACTAAATAGTTTCAAATAGCCTACTAAATTATCATTCTCACTTTTTTGTAAATGTTCTCTTTTAAACTAAACAGGGCTCATGTTCTCTTTCCAAAACGAACTTGGACCAATCAGCAGTGAGCAAAGTGACACATGTCTGAAGCAATAAAGTCAATCCACCTGTTTCTACTCAAAATTAAAGGTCACTACATAGCAAATAATTTTTAAAGACAAAATCATATGGCTTTTAGTAATGCTTATTTAGAATAATGAATTATGTAATTATTATACCCTTAAACAATCTCACATGTACAATTTTTGGTTTTATCAAATGGAAACTAATCCCTGCAACCCTGACTTTGTTCAACTACCATCATGGTACAGGCCCATGGACTGCCAGAGGTGCCAGAGCCAGAATCCACAGAAAAATCCCAAAACAGGAAAATCCAAAAGACAAAAAACTTTTACTGAGAAACAGTAAAAAATAAATAAAAATAGAAAATAATAGAAAAGGCTTGGCAACAGAACATAATCCTGGCAGAGAGAGTCGTAACAAACCAGTACTGCATGAAAAATCTGACAAAAGACAAGATAAACAGAGGAATAAACATAGTAAGCAGGTAATAAGTAAAAGGTGAAAACAATCAGACTGTGAGCTGAACAATTAGTGTTGCTATGGAAACACCAACCCCCCAAAAAAGAAAGAATTCAAGACCAAAAAAAAAAAAAGTATGCTTTGAAAGTATGAGATCCCACCCTCCCTTCAGAGTGTCTCCAAAGCGTTCGGGTAGAAAGTTGCCGGTTGCCATTTTGTAATTACGGCTATGACTTGGCGTGAGATGCATGACATTGCAGATACTTGGAGCACTTCTATTATTGATTTCTATCAGGAGTTTCAACCAGAAGAGTGTTTATTAAAAAAACAATTGCCTAACCCTACCTTTAAGCTAGATCAGGGATGGGGAACATCAGTCCTGGAGGGCCGCTGTCCTGCACAGTTTAGTTCCAATCTTTATCAATGTCTTCAGGATCATTTACATGACAACGATATGCTTAAAAGGGAGAAGTTTTCCTTTGAGTTTTCTGCATTCAGATGACACCATTATCCACATGGATCCACGAAAACTACTAAAACCCTGTATTCTGATGGATTGAGAGTGGTAATACACGTGTGAGGTCATTGTCTTCAGAGATTGGCGTTTCTGTCGTTTACAAAGAGACCATTTTTAAAAAAACATACACTTCGAAACCCGTTTGGTTTGCGCTTTCAGGCACCCAAAATGCCATATAAATGAACGGCCAAAACTCATAAAATTTTTTTAGTTGGTCTGAGCTAATCACTGCAGGTCAGCGGCCCTCCTGGACGGACATTCCCCATCTCTTTTAGGACTAAGTAACTTATTTTTTCCTCACAAAATTTACTTTAATGTATTTTTTTATATATTTTTTTTTTTTTTCATATGAGCGTGAAGGCTAGATAAATGTCTAAAACTCTTCTCATAATGAGTACAGTCGTACGGCTTCTCTCCAGTGTGAAGTCGCTCGTGTGATTTCAGGTGTCCAGAATGAGTGAATCTCTTGTCACAGTATGAGCACTTGTAAGGTTTTTCTCCAGTATGAATTCGTTGGTGTTGTTTCAGATTGTCAGCTGTAGTAAAGCTCTTCCCACAGTAACAACACACATGATCTTTTACTTCATCATGTGTTTTCTGGTGCATTTTAAAATGATCCAGTCTTAAATAACTCTTTCCACAGAGAGAACACACATAAGGATTCTCGTCTGAATGAAGTTTCAGATGAGTTTTTAGATTTGACGATGAAATAAAATGTTTTCCACACTGATCACAGTTAAATGGCTTTTCTCCAGAGTGAATGCGTAGATGATATTTGAGACCTGATTCACCAGCATAACTCTTTCCACACTGAGTGCATGGATACGGTTTCACTCCAGTGTGAATTATCATGTGTCTGTTAAGGTTTCGTTGATTTTGGAAACTCTTTCCACACTGAGAGCAGGAGTGCAGCTTATTGGCTTTTGTTCCTTGATGTTTCTCCTCCACTTCATTCAGTTTGTGTTTTTGCTCCATCACTTCAATCTGGTCTAAAATAAACATAAACATGAGTCCAAGTAGAGTAAATGTGAAAATTCAAGTTTACATTAACGCAAAGACAACAACCGATCAGATTGGTCCGAATATTACAATGAGATAATAGTATGACACAATACTCTGCTTTCAGTATAAACTTGAGAATTTACATGAATGTATTTGACATGAAAACTAATTTTGCTCACTTGCAACATTTTTTCACATGAGCGTAAAGGCTTGATGAACTTCTGAAAGTCTTCTCACACTGAATACATTCGTACGGCTTCTCTCCAGTGTGAATTCGCTCATGATATTTCAGAGATTCAGAATAAGTGAAACTCTTGTCACAGTATGAGCACTTGTAAGGTTTTTCTCCAGTATGAATTCTTTGGTGCTTTTTCAGACAGGCAGCTGCAATAAAGCTCTTCCCACAGTCACAACACACATGATCTCTCACACCGGTGTGTGTTTTCTGGTGCTGTTTAAAACATTCCATTCGTGAAAAACTCTTTCCACAGAGAGAACACACATAAGGCTTCTCATCTGAATGAACTATTAGGTGACTATTTAAATGTGATGATGAAATAAAATCTTTACCACACTGATCACAGTTAAATGGTTTTTCTCCAGTGTGAACTCGCTCATGATATTTCAGGGTTTCAGAATGACTGAATCTTTTGTCACAGTATAAGCACTTGTAAGGTTTTTCTCCAGTATGAGTTCTTTGGTGCTGTTTCAGATGACAAGATGTAATAAAGCTCTTCCCACAGTCACAACACACATGATCTCTCACTTTATGCATTTTCTGGTGCCGTTTAAAAGTCTTCAGCCCTGAAAACCTCTTTCCACAGAGAGAACACACATAAGGCTTCTCATCTGAATGAACGAGCAGGTGTTGTTTTAGATCTGATGATGAAGTAAAATCTTTACCACACTGATCACAGTTGAATGGTTTTTCTCCAGTGTGAATTCTCATGTGTGTGTTCAGGTTTCCTTTCTGTGAGAAACTCTTTCCACACTGTGAGCAGGAGTGCCGCTTTTTGACTTTTGTTCCTTCAGTTTTGAAGTCACAGTGTTTCTTGACTTCATTTAGTTTGTGTCTCACTTCCACTGTCTCTGAAATAAACATTGAGAATCTGTTTAAGGATTTTACAGGAGTGAACATTTAACAGAAATCAAGACGTCTGTGTGAGTATAAAGTATCAGGGGTCTCATTTATAAAACAGTGCGTAGGATCCTTACTAAAAGTGTACAAGCGTCCGAAAGCCAAAAATGGCGTACGCCCAAAAATAATCCGATTTATAAAACCGTTCGTACGCCAGAACCTGCGCAGAATTCACTTTATAGATCCCAGTCAGCCGGAGATTGTGCGCACATGCGTCTCCTCCCCGAAATAACCGTATACGGAGCTTACAACGCCTAGTTTAAATATGCATATCCTCATCTGCATATCATTTGCATATGATTATTAATTCATGTGATACCATGTTAAGGTACTAGACGTTAGGAAAATATGAAATACAGATGTGCCGTGTCACAACAAATGATTATTATTATTTTTTAGTAGCCTATATCCTTGCCTTGTTTTTGAACGAATAAATCAAATAGTGTAAAATACATTTCACAGAAAGATTTTCTCAATCTTTTCCACTGGCCAAATAGTATTTTTAGTTAATTGATATTTTTAATGGAAACAGATAGACATGGTTGTGTATTATTTGCATGGAACTATTTTCTCAGACAATCTGCTATTATCATGATTAGCAAGTTAAAACATTAAAACACAGCATGCCAGAGGGAAAGTGTTCAAAAGCATTGCATCCACAAAAAAATATGCATTTCTATTTATTGAATATATATATATATATATATTTATATTGTAACTTCTCAGTAATTTCATGTAGTCTGTTTAACTCTATTAATGAGAATGGCATGTTTGATCTAAATGTTTATATCAGAAGCAAAACATAGTTTATATCTTTCATTTATTTAACCCTCCTATTATCCTTGGGGTCAATTTGACCCCATTCAATGTTTAACGTCTGTAATAACATATTATTTTTTTGCTTCAGATTTAATGACTTTTCCTAATTTAATGGGGACAACTCTATAAACATAAAATTAACCTGCTAATATTTTTTTCAAAGTCCTGAACACATTTTGTAGCATCTATGTTCCTTGGGGTCAATTTGAGCCAGGCTCTTTTAGTTGTATAATAAAACAGAAGAAATATTAAAATTTAACACATTTGTTTTGGTTATTTTTTGGTTGATTGAGGTCACTATAACATGTTATAATTTGAATTTGAATGTTCATTGTAATTTTACATATTCAATATTATACTCAAAAAATGTCCCTGTTTTAGGGCTCTTACCAAACAGAACCATATCTGTATATATATTTCAAAACACATATCTATCTATATAATTTTCTTTAGATTTTCGCTCTAAAAGTGACCAAAAAGACACTCCAGCTCACCCCAGATCATTGATGTTCAACGGTCAGTTTATCATGATCATGTTTATATGATTATATGACGCTCATGTTTATATGATTAAAACTGCTTAATAAAAAGGTTGTGAACATTTGTATGCATGTATCATCCATATACTGCTTATTAATTCACAGAATTATTGACGATTGAATCAAGAATGTTCACCAACCTATTTGTTCCTCAGTATCTTCATGTTTTATTCTGGATGGTTCTGGATCACTCATGTCTTCAATCTCCTCTTTAATAATAAACTCCATCTTTATGTCTTCAATCTCCTCTTTAATAATAAACTCCATCTTTAACAGTCACACAGATTTCAGCTGCTACTCCTGGAGTTTGTCCTTCTCTTGTAGGATGATGGGAATATTCCCAGTATTTATTGGTGAATTGTTGTGGGAGGGGCTTCACTGCAGGTGTGAACTGTGATCACTGTGTGATACTGACGCCCACAGGACCAGATCTGGAAAAATCAAAGATAAGTTACTGAATTTACACTGGAATACTTAATGAACTATATAATATTTCAGTAAAAACGTATTCAAAAAATGTTTAAAATACTGTTATGTGGTTTGTTTTTTATTCATTTATGCATTGAACTATATAGCTTTAGATTACAGCCCGGAAAATACTGCGTAATTAAAACGTTTTTAAAGCGTAACCTTCGGTATTTATAGTGTACCCAAAACATACTTACAATATAAGTGTATAAGGGAACAATATTTTTGTAAGTTTGGGGAATAAAGGGGTAACAACCAGGATAATTAAAAAAAAAAATTATACTGTAAGTATTATAGAACTAAGGGGTACTTATTCTACTATTTATGATAAAACAATCTTATATTTGGGAGCAATTTAGCAAGAACATACCTTTTTGAAATAATGGTGAACCAGTACAGGGTATATATATATATATATATATATATATATATATATATATATATACACACACATACACACATTTAGTAAAAAAAAGTAATCTTTTAACAAAAGTGTACTGAAAACAGAAACTATTGCAACTTTTACTTAAATATTGTTAAAAGATCCTCTTGTTTCTTGTAGTGGTGCTTGTTGTTACGCTCTTGTTTCTTATAGTTACAGGGTAAGTGTGACATTGCGGGCTGTAAATTAAAGTGGTGTTTGTTACCCTCTTGTTCCATGTAGTTATTGGGTAAAAATGCATACACACACAACCTTATATCACTGACTCGGAAACCTTTATTTATTACACAAGCATCACTTACCCTGTAACCACATGAAACCAGATATATTTTCCAGTGTATGTTTTTATGTTTTCCAGCTTTTCTTGCCTTAAACATGTTAGCCCAAACATAAACATCTGCACTTATGCTATTGAAAAAAATAATAATATTTTTTTAAAAGAAATGCATAGATATGTACCCTGTCATTTAAAAAAAGATACAGTAATTATTACAAAAAGGTACACAGATTATTTTATCACTAAATATTTCCCAAAAGTAAGATGTAATAGTAGAAATAATAGTGAATAATTTAATTACTTACAGTATACATTTATTTTTTAATTATTCTCCTGGTTGTTAGCCATTTATTCCCCCAAACGTTACATAGGCTATTGCTCCCTAATACTTAAAGGGTTAGTTCACCCAAAAATGAAAATTAAGTCATTAATTACTCACCCCCATGCTGTACCAACCCCGTAAGACCTTCGTTCGTCTTCGGAACACAAATGAAGATATTTTTGATTAAATTTGAGAGCTGTATAACTACCACATTGGCTCCTAAGGGACTGCCTCTTGACGGCCCAAAAAGTCAATGAAGAAAATGTTTAAATATCCCAAGTGACTACCGTGGCTCAACTATATGTTTATCAAGCGACGCGAATACTTTTTGTGCGAAAAAACAAACAAAAATAACGAGTTTATTCGACTATTTTTTTTCTTTCTTGTAGGCCAGAACGAGACTTCCTTATAGATTTCCACGACGCATGCGCGAGAATTGCGATCTGAAGTAGTGAAGCTGGTGTGAGCAGATCGCAAATCTCGCGCATGCGTCGTGGAAATCTATAAGGAAGTCTCGTTCTGGCCTACAAGAAAGAAAAAAAATAGTCGAATAAACTCGTTATTTTTGTTTGTTTTTTCGCACAAAAAGTATTCGCGTCGCTTGATAAACATATAGTTGAGCCACGGTAGTCACTTGGGATATTTAAACATTTTCTTCATTGACTTTTTGGGCCGTCAAGAGGCAGTCCCTTAGGAGCCAATGTGGTAGTTATACAGCTCTCAAATTTAATCAAAAATATCTTCATTTGTGTTCCGAAGACGAACGAAGGTCTTACGGGGTTGGTACAGCATGGGGGTGAGTAATTAATGACTTAATTTTCATTTTTGGGTGAACTAACCCTTTAAATGTAAGTACTTTATAGGTACACTAGAATTACAGAAACTCCTCTTAATTACACAGTACTTTCTGGGCTGTATCCAAAGTGTTACCTAATATTCAAGTAAAAACGTATTAAATTTTTTTTTTTTAACTATGTGGCCTGTTTATTTATTTATGCATTGTACGTGAACAGTTGCAACAGTTTTTGCAACCTTTCCCGTTCGTGTCAGTTTTATAAAACCTCATGTGCTAGCTAAACAAGGCTACCTTGCTACATGCTAACCATACTACTATTACCATATCACTCATTTAAACCATATAAGTTTGAGCTCAATCACAAAAACAGTGACAACAGTTTAACAAAAACAATTTAAAGAAAAAAAATACTTTCATACCTCATAAATAGTTTTTCGTCAATAAATCCTGCAGCAGCTCAGGAATCTCCTCGATATTTTCTCTGAAGGCGGGGCATCCAACTGAGCATGCGCAGTGTGAGTGACATCACTCTAGCTACTTTAACCCTTTGAAGTCCGTACCAAGAAAAAAAGTGTTTTTTTTTTTTTTTTTTTTTGCATTTCTTATCTCCTTATGTTGCTATAACCACACTCAATGTATTTTTTTAACACATCCCATAACTTTTAAAATATCAGCCTCTACCAAATGGTTGAGATGTCACTTAATGGTAATAAATGGTACCGGAATTCATACACATACTTTGCCATACTTTTTCATTGCCCATCATAATTTATGACCAAAACCTTTCTAGTCTTGACAAACACATTATCATGACAGGTCTAAGTCTCAAGGTTCCATATTTTGTAACAGAAGTGAAGTGATATTTGGACAGAAATATATTAATTTGTTTCAGCAGAACGCATACAATTAAATTAAATGGAATGTCATTTTTGGTATTACACCTAAACAAAATCTCATGAGAACTTCGATTTTTGTGATATCAACTTCAAATTTGGAACACAACTTGGTTAGATATATGGCTTTGATTTTATAGTATTTTTATAGGAAAAAAATATTTTGTAAAATATATATTTTATATAAAAATATTTAGTACAATATATTTGATTTAATGTAAATTTTAAACTTCCATAACTTTTACATACTTTTATTTTTTTAAGTGATTTTACTTCAGCAATGATCTGCTGAGTGTTTTCTTTACAACAAGACTAAACTAAGGTCTTTATTCCAAACCATACTTGAATTACAACCATGTTTTAATAATGTATTGTAATGTAATTCTCAAAAAGGGGGGAGGGGGGCAATTAATCATTATGTGCCAAATCAACCATTTGGTTGAGCATGTTTTTGAAAAATTATTAAAAACATATTTTAGTTTTTTCATAGCACCAAGTAACATAATTTTGTAAAGTTAAGGCTCTTACAGTGTACTATGTAAAAAAATTATGCTTTACTTGCAAAATTTCACCAAAAACAGTTCACATGGCTGGTGTGATTTATTTGTTTCTGACATCCATGTTAGAAGAAGTGTTGGATACACTGGATAAAGTAGAGCGGACAAAGACTGACTGAACAGAAGCGAACTTCTGTGATGATCATAAGTGTCCATGGGGATTGATGACATGCAGGTGATGGTGATTGTGAAGGAGGTGCAGGTGTGGGTCAAGGAGGATGCTGGGAAATGTAGTGAGGAGCTGGATGATAAACTGGTAATTGTGACATGTTTCTGATTTAGATGGTTTAACAAGTTTAGACAGTTCTTCTCCTGACCTTGAGCAAATAATTAATGTTTTTTTTCAAAGTTTTTTTTTATGAATATTTAATGTTTGACCTGTAAATCCTTTATATTTGCACAACTTACTGCAGAAGTAAGACCTGATCATTTTGTTGACAATAATACTGCCACACTGTAAAAAAATATTGTTGGTTTAACTTAAAAAAGTAAGTAACCTGGGTTGCCTTAAAATGTTAAGTTCATTAAACTGGAAAAAGTGAGTTAATACAATGAAGGAAATTAATTGAATCATTAGAAACTCAAAATAATAAGTTATCTCAACTAAATAAATTATTTAAGTTGATTTGACAAAAGAAAATATGTTGTGATAACAAATCTTGAAAATATTATTTTACAGTGCACACATTCTTATCACAGTATTAAGATTAATGTTTAAACTCATTAATGTGATTAAAACTATATAACTCATTCTCTGTGTTCATTAAACAGATTACTCAAGGCAAGATGTTTCTGTTTCATTTCTCATATTTATCATCAGAAAAAGGTTCCAAGCGATCCGTACCGATACTAGAATGTGACGAGTAAACACTGCAGAACACTGATTGGTCAGAATATTACAATGAGATAATAGTACGACACAACACTCTGCTTTCAGTATAAACTCCATATTTTATCTCAGAAAATTTACATGAATGCATTTGACATGAAAACTAATTTCTCACGAGCAACATTTTGTCACATGAGTATAAAGGTTTGATGAACTTCTGAAACTCTTCCCACATTGAATACAGTCGAATGGCTTCTCTCCAGTATGAACTCGCTCATGATATTTCAGAGATCCAGACTGATTGAAACTCTTGTCACAGTATGAGCACTTGTAAGGTTTTTCTCCAGTATGAATTCTTTGGTGCTGTTTCAGACAGGCAGATGTAGTAAATCTCTTCCCACAGTCACAGCACACATGATCTTTCACTTCATCATGTGTTTTCTGGTGCCGTTTAAAATTGTTCAGCCATGAAAAACTCTTTCCACAGAGAGAACACACATAAGGCTTCTCATCTGAATGAACTTTCAGGTGTCTCGTTAGATTTGATGATGAAATAAAATCTTTACCACACTGATCACAGTTATATGTTTTTTCTCCAGAATGAATGCGCAGATGATATGTCAAACTTGTTGAATCTCTGAAACTCTTCTCACACTGAGTACAGTAGTACGGCTTCTCTCCGGTGTGAAATCGTTCGTGATATTTCAGGTTTCCAGACCGAGTGAAACTCTTGTCACAGTATGAGCACTTGTAAGGTTTTTCTCCAGTATGAATTCTTTGGTGCTTTTTCAGACCAGAAGCTGTAGTGAAGCTCTTCCCACAGTCACAACACACATGATCTCTCACTTTATCATGTGTTTTCTGGTGCCGTTTAAAACTGTCCAGCCATGAAAAACTCTTTCCACAGAGAGAACACACATAAGGCTTCTCATCTGAATGAACTGTTAGGTGTGATTTTAGTTGTGATGATGAAATAAAATCTTTACCACACTGATCACAGTTGAATAGTTTCTCTCCAGTGTGAATTCTCATGTGTGTGTTCAGGTTTCTTTTTTGTCTGAAACTCTTTCCACACTGTGAGCAGGAGTGCCGCTTTTTGACTTTTGTTCCTTGAGTTTTGAAGTCACAGTGTTTCTTTACTTCATTTAGTTTGTGTCTCACTTCCACTTTCTCTGAAATAAACATTAAGAATCTGTTTAAGGAGGATACATTTACAGGAGTGAACATTTAACAGAAATCAAGACGTCTGTGTGAGTATAAAGTATCAGGGGTCTCATTTATAAAAAAGCCAAAAATGGTGTACGCCCAAAAATATTCAGATTGATAAAACCGTTCGTACGCCAGAACCTGCGCAGAATTCACTTTATAGATCCCAGTCAGCCGGAGATTGTGCGCACGTGCGTCTCCTCCCCGAAATAACCGTATATGGAGCTTACAACGCCTAGTGTAAGAGCCACATAGGGATTAGTTCATCTGATATAATAATTTAGTAAAAACAGCAAGAAAATATTTGATGAAGATTTATAAGAATTATTATTTTACTTATTTTTGGATTTAAAATGTATATTTAGTATCTATATAGTATATAATATAGTATATTATATATATTTAATCTGATTAAATTTCATTATTTTGAGCTTCCAGTCAGATCGCACTTGTCATAACGCAAGTGATTGGATGTGTTTCAGTTTGAAGTTAGAGACGTTGGAAGCAACACAGTTTTTTGACCGTGCGTACCATGTAACAGCTTTTGTATTATGTTTTAGAAGTAAACATTTAAAAGGAAGATCGTGTTTTGCTCGTGTTTCAAATACTGGTTACAATTTGACTGACTTCAAAAGGTGGAGAACAGACGACAGAAGAACAGAAGAAACAGAAGGTTCAGAAGAATTAAACGCACAATAGGTGCCACTGCCACTACACCTAGTTTAAACATGCATATCCTCATCTGCATTTCATTTAGAGCCAGACCGATATTATCGGCCGATATTAAGCATTTTCCAAACTATCGGTATCGGCAGTTATAATGGCCGATAAATGAATATTTAAAAAATTAAATAAAAACAGACGAAACACGCTTGAAACATGTCACGAGTGTTGGAGTTGTATAGTTTGTCCACCAGAGGGCACTCTACACTGTCCCTGTTGGCAACACTCGTTGAGTTGGTCACGATACATACATTGCTTGAATAACAATTAAAAGAACATCCCCATCAGTTATGTTAACTCAAATAAGCAAGACAAAATTTGTGACTATCAGTTTGTGACTGTCCAGTTAAAAAAATAAAAATAAATAAAATATCGGCCGATATATCGGAATATCGGATTTTAAAACCCAAAAATATTTGTATCGGTATCGGCCTTCAAAATCCTTTATCGGTCGGGCTCTAATTTCATTTGCATATGATTATTAATTCATGTGATACCATGTTACGGTACAAGACGTTAGGAAAATATGAAATACAGATGTGCCGTGTCACAACAAATGATTATTATTATTTTTTAGTAGCCTATATCCTTGCCTTGTTTTTGAACGAATAAATCAAATAGTGTAAAATACATTTCAGAGAAAGATTTTCTCAATCTTTTCCACTGGCCAAATAGTATTTTTAATTAATTGATATTTTTAATGGAAACAGATAGACATGGTTGTGTATTATTTGCATGGAACTTTTTTCTCAGACAATCTGCTATTATCATGATTAGCAAGTTAAAACATTAAAACACAACATGCCAGAGGGAAAGTGTTCAAAAGCATTGCATCCACAACAAATATGCATTTCTATTTATTGAATATATATATATATTTTTTTGTAACTTCTCAGTAATTTCATGTAGTTTGTTTAACTCCATTAATGAGAATGGCACGTATAATCTAAATGTTTATATCAGAAGCAAAACAGTTTAAATCCTTCTTTCATTTATTTAACCCTCCTATTATCCTTGGGGTCAATTTGACCCCATTGAATGTTTACGTTTGTAAAAAACATACATTATTTATTTATTTATTTTTTTGCTTCAGATTTAATGACTTTTCCTAATTTAATGGGGACAACTCTGTAAACATAAAATTAACCTGCTAATATTTTTTCAAAGTCCTGTACACATTTTGTAGCATCTGTGTTCCTTGGGGTCAATTTGACCCAGGCTCTTTTAGTTGTATAATAAAACAGAAGAAATATTAAAATTTAACACATTTGTTTGTTATTTTTTGGTTGACTGAGGTCACTATAACATGTTATAATTTGAATTTATAATGTTCATTGTAATTTTACATATACAATATTATACTCATGTAAAAAGGGCCAGATGGCGGGGTTCGATTCGTGGTGAAGGTTTCAAGCGTGTTTCAAGTCTTTTCCATGACAAAGTAATGTTTAATTAAATGCAATACATTTAATCTTATGTATTAACTCGTTTCATCTGACTCCATAAAATGAAAAGGGTTTATCAATGATATCTGTGCATCATTTAGTAGTTAATGCTTGACTATTCCTTTAACTCTAATGAAAATAAAGTCAAAGTCTGTTAGAATAGCCAAATATAACAATTTATTATGTCAGGTAAATGTATTGTTACAATTCCACAAGATAATCAATGCAAACCGTTAAATGTTTCAAAGAACAAAGAACTTTTACCCAACATATTACATGAGCTGAGCATAGACACAACATCATGGGCTGATCTGAATACAGAAAGGCAGCCCCGAACTCTTGTTACATCTCCCTTTATAACCAGACCTCATTTCATATGCAAGTTCCAGTGGAAATTTACTGTATTCCCAGCCATGTTTACTGGGGGAAGGAGCTTAGAACAGTGGAAATTAGCATTTACACATTTGGAGTTCCTAGAGACCACACTCCTTTGTGTAACAGTTATTCCTAAACTTCTTAAAAACCTTATTACCTTTTGATTTACTTCTTTGGAAATGAGACATTATTACCAGTCGCCCTGAGACCATCAAAATGATTCTAAACACTCCTTAAAGATTATCAGATTCACATTAAAACCATATTCTTGTGTGAGTTTTTCAGTGTTATTGACTGAGAGAGTGAAAGAGAGAATATGCAGATAAGATGTTCAGAGAAAAGGGGGTAGGGTGTCAAATGTTAATTTGCAAGCAATGCCATTTGTCTTTAGAGGGCACTGGTCAGATATTTTCTCTTTAACCAGTTTTCCAGTCTTACACTCAAAAAATGTCCCAAACATAACCATATCTGTATATATCTTTCTATATCTATGTATATTCTTTAGATTTTCGCTCTAAAAGTGACCAAAAAGACACTCCAGCTCACCCCAGATCATGGATGTTCAACAGCCAGTTCTGTCATGTTTATATGATTAAAACTGCTTAATAAAAAGGTTGTGAACATTTGTATGCATGTATCATCCATATACTGCTTTAATTCACAGAATTATTGAAGAATCAAGAATGTTCACCAACCTATTTGTTGCTCAGTATCTTCATGTTTTATTCTGGATGGTTCTGGATCAGTCGTGTCTTCAATCTCCTCTTTAATAAACTCCATCTTTAACAGTCACACAGATTTCAGCTGCTACTCCTGGAGTTTGTCCTTCTCTTGTAGGATGATGGGAATATTCCCAGTATTTATTGGTGAATTGTTGTGGGAGGGGCTTCACTGCAGGTGTGAACTGTGATCACAGTGTGATACTGACGCCCACAGGACCAGATCTGGAAAAATCAGAAATAAGTTACTGAATTTACACTGGAATACTTAATGAACCATATAATATTTCAGTAAAAACTTGTTAAAATACTGTTATGTGGTTTGTTTTTTATTCATTTATGCATGGCACTGTATAGCTTTAGATTACAGCCCAGAAAATACTGCGTAATTAAAACGTTTTTAAAGCGTAACCTGCGGTATTTATAGTGTACCTTAAACATACTTACAATATAAGTATAAGGGAACAATATTTTTGTAAGTTTGGGGAATAACAACCCCTCCTAACCAGGAGAATTAAAAAAAATATATATACTGTAAGTATTATAGAACTAAGGGGTACTTATTCTACTGTTTATGAAATAACAATCTTACATTTGGGAGCAATTTAGCAAGAACATACCTTTTTAAAATAATGGTGAACCAGTACAGGGTACACACACACACACATTTATATATATATATATATATATATATATATATACACACACACACACACACACACACACACACACACACAGTAAAAAAAAGTAATCTTTTAACGAAAGTGCACTGAAAACAAAAACTATTGCAACTTTTGCTTAAATATTGGGAAAAGATGCTCTTGTTTCTTGTAGTGGTGCTTGCTGTTACGCTCTTGTTTCATATAGTTACAGGGTAAGTGTGATATTGGGGGCTGTAAATTAAAGTGGTGTTTGTTTTACCCTTTTGTTCCATGTAGTTACTGATGAAAACTGCATAAACACAACCTTATATCACGGACTCGGAAACCTTTATTTATTACACAAGCACCACTTACTCTGGAACCACATGAAACCAGATATATTTTCCAGTGTATGTTTTTCAGCTTTTCTTGCCTTAAAACATGTTAGCCCAAACATAAACATCTGCACTTATGCTATTAAAATAATAATAATAATTTTTTTTTAAAGAAATGCATAGATATGTACCCTGTCATTTAAAAAAAGATACAGTAATTATTACAAAAAGGTACACAGATAATTTTATCACTAAATATTTCCCAAATGTAAGATGTAATGAAATAGTAGTGAATAATAGTGAAGTACCCCTTAGTACTTTAATTACAGAAATTCCTCTTAATTACACAGCAACGTTACTTTCTGGGCTGTATCCAAAGCGTTCCCTAATATTCAAGTTAAAAAAAAATTTAAACTACGTGGCCTGTTTATTTATTTATGCATTGTACGTGAACAGTTGCAACAGTTTTTGCGACCTTTCTCGTTCGTGTCAGTTTTATAAAACCTCATGTGCTAGCTAAACAAGGCTACCTTGCTACATGCTAACCATACTAGCTTAAAGTTACCATATCACTCATTTAAACCATATAAGTTGAGCTCAATCACAAAAACAGTGACAACAGATTAACAAAAACAGTTTAAAGAAAGAAATACTTTCATACCTTAAAAATAGTTTTTCGTCAATAAATCCTGCAGCAGCTCAGGAATCTCCTCGATATTTTCTCTGAAGGCGGGGTATCCAACTGAGCATGCGCAGTGTGAGTGAGATCACTCTAGCTACGTTAACCCTTTGAAGTCCGCACCAAGAAAAAAGTGATGGAAATGTTTTTTTTTTTTTTGCTGCATTTCTTATCTCCTTATGTTGCTATAACCACACGCAATGTATTTTTTTCCCCAACACATCCCATAATTTTTGTTAAATATCAGCCTCTACCAAATGGTTGAGATGTCACTCAATGGTAATAAATGGTACCGGAATTCATACACATACTTTGCCATACTTTTTCATTGCCCATCATAATTTATGATCAAAACCTTTTCTAGTCTTGACAAAACACATTATCAGAAAGGTCTGAGTCTCAAGGTTCCATGTTTTGTAACAGAAGCGATATTTGGACCTAAATTTATTAATTTGGCACAGCAGAACGCATACAGTTACATTCAATGGACAGTCATTTTTAGTATTACGCAAGGCCAACATGACTTCATGAGATCAGTCTGGCAAGGCGGATTTAATGTGACTCTGACGTTAATCTACATCGACATTTGACGCAATTACGCGCCGGCGAGTAAGCACTGACTAGAAACAACAGACACAGACAATAACATTAAAAACTCAAATACATATGGAGAACAGTGATGGAGTGAGTCAATGGAGGGAGAGTGAGGTGTTAGACCTAATTAATATATGGGCTAATTAATAAATAGCCAATTTTGCTTTATTTCTCTTCGTTCTTCTCCTCCTCCTCCTCATCACCTGCTCATTAATTTTACAGCTTCCATTACACAGATATTTAGAAATAAAAGCGTAAATATTACTTCCTCCATATTAACCACATGAACATTCATGCAACCGCCTGCAGCGTATGATGTCATTGTTATTATTCTTTTGCGCATGCGGGTTAGTTTGAAACATGCAAACAGTTCACATTGGAATCACATATAGGCCATATTTTTAAAGGTATGCGTGAACAGCCAAACCAATAATCTGATCTGAGCAAAAAATCAGAATTGAGTATTAAGACTTGCGGTGTGAACGGGGCCAAAGTAGAACGGATAAAGACTGACTGAACAGAAGGGAACTTCTGTGATGATCATAAGTGTCCATGGGGATTGATAACATGCAGGTGATGGTGATTGTGAAGGAGGTGCAGGTGTGGGTCAAGGAGGATGCTGGGAAATGTAGTGAAGAGCTGGATGATAAACTGGTAATTGTGACATGTTGCTGATTTAGATGGTTTAACAAGTTTAGACAGTTCTTCTCCTGACCTTGAGCAAAGAATTAATGATTTTTTATTTATGAAATTTTAATGTTTGACCTGATCATTTTGTTGACAATAATACTGCCACACATTTTTATCACAGTATTAAGATTAATGTTTAAACTCATTAATGTGATTAAAACTATATAACTCATTCTCTGTGTTCATTAAACAGATTACTCAAGGCAAGATGTTTCCGTTTCATTTCTCATATTTATTAGAAATCAGAAAAAGGTTCCAAGCGATCCGTACCGATACTAGAATGTGACGAGTAAACACTGCAGAACTAGCCTGCCAGCCCGAACTCCGCCCACAACATTTTTTGGTCGGGAAGTTCGGTCTGGACTCGATCCATTGAGGAGAAATTATGATCAGTCAAAAAATGAACGGGCCAATCAAATTGCCAGGGCGGGCTTTAAACGATGATGGACAGATGATCTGCAGGGACGTAATCATCACGTTATCAAAGAGCACGTGTCAAAGATGACTGCAGCTGGAGAATTGAGATGTATAGATTCCGCTGTAAAATAAATCGACAGCGCATTAATTTTAATAGACAAACAGAGAACTGCAATCAAGGCATTTGTCGATATTTTTGAAAGATATTTTTGCCGTCCTTCCTACATAAAAAGTGTAAAAGTGTAACTTATCAGCTGGCTCTGACGGTCACTAAGAAGATGGGACGTAATGAAAAGCCTGTGGTCGTTGTGGTTTCTCCTTTGGTAGCACTCATGGAGGACCAAGTAAAATAAGTGACACTCGTTATTTAACTTCTAAAATAAATAAGTTCTGTAGTTGAAAACTGCGCTATGCAAAGAAGTTGACTTACTGCGTTGCTCTGATTGGTTGTAGGTCTACCGACTATCCAATTGAGTGCAGAGTATGTTTTTTTTCCTGGTTCGGTTACGACACGTCTCATAATCAAAGCCATACAGAGGAGTTTCAGACTAATTCTCACTAGAATATGAGTATGACGAAGTCAGGCCACTGCAGAACACTGATTGGTCCGAATATTACAATGAGATAATAGTACGACACAACACTCTGCTTTCAGTATAAACTTGAGAATTTACACAAATGCATTTGACATGAAAACTATTTTTGCTCACTTGCAACATTTTTTCACATGAGCGTAAAGGTTTGATGAACTTCTGAAAGTCTTCTCACACTGAGAACAGTGATACGGCTTCTCTCCAGTGTGAATTCGCTCATGATATTTCAGGTGTCCAGAATGAGTGAAACTCTCGTCACAATATGAGCACTTGTAAGGTTTTTCTCCAGTATGAGTTCGCTTGTGATAAATCAGGTATCCAGACCGAGTGAAACTCTTGTCACACTGAGTGCAGTGGTACGGCTTCTCTCCAGTGTGAATTCGCTCATGATTTTTCAGAGATTCAGACTGAGTGAAACTCTTGTCACAGTATGAGCACTTGTAAGGGTTTTCTACAGTATGAATTCTTTGGTGCTTTTTCAGAAAGGCAGATGTAGTAAAGCTCTTCCCACAGTCACACATATAATCTCTCACTTCATCATGTGTTTTCTGGTGCAGTTTACAACATACGAGTCGTGAAAAACTCTTTCCACAGACAGAACACACATAAGGCTTCTCATCTGAATGAACTATTAGGTGACTATTTAGTTGTGATGATGAAATAAAACCTTTCCAGCACTGATCACAGTTGAATGGTTTTTCTCCAGAATGAATGCGCAGATGATGAATCAAACCTTTCGGATCTTTGAAACTCTTCTCACACTGACTACAGTGATACGGCTTCTCTCCAGTGTGAATTCGCTCGTGTGATTTCAGGGTTCCAGACCGAGTGAATCTCTTGTCACAGTATGAGCACTTGTAAGGTTTTTCTCCATAATGAATTATTTGGTGCTGTTTCAGTTGGGCAGATCTAGTAAAGCTCTTCCCACAGTCACACACATGATCTCTCACTTCATTGTGTGTTTTCTGGTGTAGTTTAAAACTGTTCAGTCGAGGAAAACTCTTTCCACAGAGAGAACACACATGAGGCTTCTCATCTGAATGAACTAACAGGTGTGATTTTAGACTTGATGAAGAAATAAAATCTTTACCACACTGATCACAGTTGAATGGTTTTTCTCCAGTGTGAATTCTCATGTGTCTGTTAAGGTCTCCTTTTTGTCTGAAACTCTTTCCACACTGTGAGCAGGAGTGCCGCTTTTTGACTTTTGTTCCTTCAGTTTTGAAGTCACAGTGTTTCTTCACGTCATTTAGTTTGTGTCTCACTTCCACTTTCTCTGAAATAAACATTAAGAATTTGTTTAAGGAGATTACATTTACAGGAGTGAACATTTAACAGAAATCAAGACTTCAGGTTTCTGTCTGTGCGAGTATAAAGTATCAGGGGTCTCATTTATAAAACAGTGCGTAGGATCCTTACTAAAAGTGTACATGTGCCCGAAAGCCAAAAATGGCGTACGCTCAAAAATATTCAGATTTATAAAACCGTTCGTACGCCAGAACCTGCGCAAAATTCACTTTATAGACCCCAGTCAGCCGGAGATTGTGCGCACATGCGTCTCCTCCCCGAAATAACCGTATATGGAGATTACAACGCATAGTGTAAATATGCATATCCTCATCTGCATATCATTTGCATATTCGTGTGATACCATGTTAAGGTACAAGACGTTAGGAAAATATGAAATGCAGATGTGCCGTGTCACAACAAATGATTATTATTATTTTTTTGTAGCGTATATCCTTGCCTTGTTTTTGAACGAATAAATCAAATAGTGTAAAATACATTTCACAGAAAGATTTTCTCAATCTTTTCCACTGGCCAAATAATATTTTTAATTAATTGATATTTTTAATGGAAACAGATAGACGTGGTTGTGTATTTTTTGCATGCAACTATTTTCTCAGACAATCTGCTATTATCATGATTAGCAAGTTAAAACATTAAAACACAGCATGCCAGAGGGAAAGTGTTCAAAAGCATTGCATCCACAACAAATATGCATTTCTATTTACTGAATATATATATATATATATATATATATATATATATATATATATATATTTTGTAACTTCTCAGTAATTTCATGTAGTCTGTTTAACTCTATTAATGAGAATGGCATGGTTAATCTAAATGTTTATATCAGAAGTAAAACATAGTAAATCCTTCTTTCATTTATTTAACCCTCCAATTTGACCCCATTGTCTGTAAAAACATCTTTTTTTTTGCGTCAGATTTAATGACTTTTCCTAATTTAATGGGGACAACACTGAAAAAATATTACCAGGTTAATTTTATGTTTACAAAGTCCCGTACACATTTTGTAGCATCTGTGTTCCTTGGGGTCAATTTGACCCAGGCTCTTTTAGTTGTATAATAAAACAGAAGAAATATAAAAATTTAACACATTTGTTTTGGTTATTTTTTGGTTGATTGAGGTCACTATAACATGTTATAATTTGAATTTATAATGTTCATTGTTATTTTACGTATTCAATATCATATTCAAAAAATGTCCCTGTTTTAGGGCTCTTACCAAACAGAACCATATCTGTATATATCTTTCTAAACACATATCTATATAATTTTCTTTAGATTTTCACTCTAAAAGTGACCAAAAAGACACTCCAGCTCACCCCAGATCATTGATGTTCAACGGTCAGTTTATTATGATCATGTTTATATGATTATATGACGCTCATGTTTATATAATTAAAACTGCTTAATAAAAAGGTTGTGAACGTTTGTAAGCATGTATCATCCATATACTGCTTTAATTCACAGAATTATTGAAGAATCAAGAATGTTCACCAACCTATTTGTTCCTCAGTTTCTTCATGTTTTATTCTGGATGGTTCGGGATCAGTCATGTCTTCAATCTCCTCTTTAATAAACTCCATCTTTAACAGTCACACAGATTTTAGATGTGATCAAATAGATTACATAGATATTTTATTTATTTATTTATTTATTTTTTGTTGAAAATACTGCTATGTGGTCTGTTTATTTATTTATTTATGCATTGTATATGAACAGTTGCAACAGTTTTTGCAACCTTTCCCGTTCGTGTATAAAACCTCATGTGCTAGCTAAACAAGGCTAACCATACTAACTTAAAGTTACCATATCACTCATTTAAACCATATAAGTTTGAACTCAATCACAAAAATAGTGACAAGTTTAAAAAAAAAAAAAAAAAAAATATACTTTCATACCTCAAAAACGTCAATAAATCCTGGAGCAGCTCAGGAATCTCCTCGATATTTTCTCTGAAGGCGGGGCATCCAACTGAGCATGCGCAATGTGAGTGACATCACTCTAGCTAATTTAAACTGAGGGGTAAAACATTAAAAACACATTGATAGGTGATTAACACATAAATAAAACAATTTTTATTTATTATTAATAACATTTTTTTTTTCATGAGCATATAATGAATGAGGTGAAAATAGGGATTATATTATTATGTAAAAAATGTGATCAGGGATGGGCAACTCCAGTACTCGAGGGCCACTGTCCTGCAGAGATATATATTGCAAATATATATACAGCATATTTGCTTTCATATGTTGATTGATTTTATGATACGTGCATGACTTGATCCTATATAATATAATTAGAAAGACAGTTCAGTTCGGGTTTTTTTCTTCCCACCATACACCTTGAATTTTCGGGTCACTTTTGTTATTTTTATGACATTTCTGCCCCAGTATGACAGGAAACAGCAACAGTACGAGACGGTGGAGATACATTACACTAAATGTATTTAGTGGTGTAATTCCAAACATTCTGTGATCAAATACAATAATACAATCTTTAAGATCTTTAGTTATTTTAAATGGGTTCAATGCAGTCGTATTATCTGACATATACCAGCTGCTAGAAAAGTATGTTATAAATATTATGATTATGTGTAATATGAATGTAATCTTGATCTACTACATTCGGGATGTTGATTTCCATTCGGCTTCACTTCCATCATACGCACACTTCAGAATATTGCGATCCGAGTACTTTTTGTCTACACATTTTATGTGAATTCAGACACTATTGTCACATACTTTTGCGTTTTGCCTATCCTGTATAGTAGGGACGTATGTGGGTTTTATTTTATTTACCTCTTTATTCTCTACCACAACATTCAATCTCCATTTCCATTTACCACTACATTTAAGGTGCGTTTGCGCCACCTAGTGGAGTGCAGAGAAAATACTGCGTATGGAATAACGGAATAAAGCCGCAAATCCCGTCATTCTGGCCTGGTGATTTTGGTTTAAATTTTGAAGCACACCGTTCACCTTTTTATGCATTATGTATGAGAGCCCAAATCAGGGGAGTCACCGTATTTTTAATATAAATTACAATTTAGATGATAAAGAATGTGTGTCACTCAACTGTGGCAAATACTTTTACATGTGAAGCTCGAAAAATTAAAATATTGTACAAAAGTTTATTTCAGTAATTCAACTTAAAAGTGAAACTAATATATAGACTCATTACATGCAAAGTGATATATTTCAAGAAGCTTTTATTTATTTTATAATTTTGATGATTATGGCTTACAGCTTATGAAAACATTTTCACAATATTAAAATTTTAAATTTGGGGTTTTCATAAGCTGTAAGACATAATCATCTAAATTATATATAAAAAAGGCTTGAAATATTTCACTTTGCATGAAATGAGTCTATATTAGTTTCACCTTTTAAATTGAATTAGTTAAATAAACAAACTCTTGCATGTTATTCAAATATTTTGAGGCTTTTATCGAAAGCGACTTAAATTACAATCGAGTGAAAAATTGTTGGCCTATCCGAAAGAAAGTCATGTTACAGCCCTCCTCATTGGGACAGTCATGTTTTTTCAAGTTATTGACATTTGGAGATGTTAAAAGTAAAATGAAATGAAAAGAATAAATTGTTTTGTCCTGTACATCCATATCTGTTGACAATGATCTGTTTAATGCAGATGTTTTTTACTGGAAAGTTGATTGAATATTTTTTTTCTTCTTCATTGTTTAGTAGTTTTCAGCTCAGTTTACCTTGTAAAACCTAAGGTGTTACCACATTGTTTGCCACACAGTATAATAAATATAATAATTAAGAATGACACTGGACAACAACCTGTTTATAAGATATAAGACCAGATCATCTACTTCAGTATTTCAGTTTAAACCCACTTATAATGTCATTAAATTAAATTCTGTCTCAATCAATCATAGAGCAATCAAGACAAGAGGTTGTATTTCCTAACAATTTCATGTACAATTAGAGCACATAAAACAATATTTTATTTACGTTATAAGCGTTGCTGACTGAAAAAGCTTTTAACTCTTAAGCATTTCAACAAATTTCATGGCATTAAACTTAATGACATTTTGCTTTTGGAAGCAACATATTTAGTCTATATAATGTATTTGACATGGAAATAAATTATGCTCACTGTGATGACTTCTGACATTTTTTCAAATGTGTTTGAAGGCTTGATAAATGTCTAAAACTGTCTCCACACTCAGTGCAGTAGTACGGCTTCTCTCCAGTATGAATTCGCTCGTGTGATTTCAGGTGCTCCAACCGAGTGAATCTCTTGTCACAGTATGAGCACTTGTAAGGTTTTTCTCCAGTATGAATTCTTTGGTGCTGTTTCAGATGTACAGATGCAATATAACTCTTCCCACAATCCAAACACACATGATCTCTCACACCGGTGTGTGTTTTCTGGTGCTGTCTATAATGAGTCATGTGTAAAAAACCTTTTCCACAATAAGAACAGACATGAGGCCTTTCGTTTGTATGAATTTTTAGATGTTTTTGAAGACTTGATGACAAATGAAAATGTTTCCCACACTGATCACAGTTAAATGGCTTTTCTCCAGAGTGAACACGCAGATGATTTCTGAAACCTGGTGAATGTTTGAAACTCTTCTCACACTGAGTACAGTGATACGGCGTCTCTCCAGTGTGAACTCGCTCGTGTGATTTCAGTTGTCCCAACTGAGTGAAACTCTTGTCACAGTATGAGCACTTGTAAGGTTTTTCTCCAGTATGAATTCGTCGATGTTGTTTCAGATGACTAGGTCTAGTAAAGCTCTTCCCACAGTCACAACACACATGATCTCTCACTTCATCATGTGTTTTCTGGTGTTGTTTAAAACTGTTCAGCCGTGAAAAACTCTTTCCACAGAGAGAACACACATGAGGCCTCTCGTCTGAATGAACTTTCAGGTGATGATTTAGATGTGACGATGAAGTAAACTTTTTACCACACTGATCACAGTTGAATGGCTTTTCTCCAGAGTGAACACGCAAATGATAACTCAGACTTGATGAATGAAAAAAACTCTTTCCACACTGAGAGCAGGTGTGCAGCTTTTTGCGTTTTTCTGTTTGAGTTTTTAAGTCACAATGTTCCTCTTCAATTTCATTCAGTTTATGTACTTGCTTCACTTCCATCCAGTCTAAAATAAAATAGTATGAGGTTAAAATCAATCCCAGTGAACTACATTTAATAGCAGTGGATATGTCAGTAATATCAACGGTACACTCAAATTAATACAGTCAAAACATACAAGATCATGCAGATGTGTATCATAAATCTGTTGAATTTACATTTTAATGTTTCTCAGCAGTCAACAGTAAAGAACAAAGAATGGACACCAACCTATTTGTTCCTCAGTATCTTCATGTTTTATTCTGGATGGTTCTGGATCACTCATGTCTTCAATCTCTTCTTTAATAAACTCCATCTTTAACAGTCTCACAAATTTCAGCTGCTGCTTCTGGAGTTTGTCCTTCTCTTGTAGGATGATGGGAATATTCCCAGTATTTATTGGTGAATTGTTGTGTGAGGGACACCAGATCTGCAAAATGCATACTTTATATTAAATGTATAATAAATTAAAGGTTTTCGGTTGGAAATATGGAGTAATTCAACACAATTAGATATTAATTGAATTTAAAACAAGGTTTGTTTATTTGTTGTCCAAAGTCTAATAGAAATAGCAGAGCCATCAAGAAACCAGGACAAACAACACATTACGTTAGGCTTAAACGCTTTGGAGTAATTTATAATCTGGGAAAATCTCTAACCGGCAGACTGGAAATATCCAGCATCCCAAAAAAGATTCAAATTTTTTCCTTCATTCATTAACACCATTCCGTAAAATACCTGGTGAAATATTAAGCCACTGTTGCTAACTATTTTCATTGGAAAGTAGCTAGCCTGATAGCGTCAAATGCTAATTAGCATACCGATTGCGTCATTACGTAGTATTTGCATTCTGCCGACTGTTATATCCTCCAAAATTTGTTTTCATCTGTATATTTTTCTGTTTATGTTGTGAGGCAACGGGAAGAATACGAAATAGTGATTGAAACGAGACCCATACAGAAGTCACTTCTAAGCAGCTGCTCTTACCGAAATCTTAGAGACGTTGTCTGACAAAATCACTATCGACATGAGATAAAAACAGTTGCTTTGATTTATGCTATATATTGCTCAGGTAAAAAGCAAAAGAATATCTATTTTCTTTTCTCTGACAGCCTCGACTGAATATCTACTCCAGTCAGCCTCATCTCTCTACTCTCTTCTGCGCATGCTCAGTACGCGCGGGCATTCTTCTTAAAGGGGCCGCATATTATTAGGCTGTCATGAACTGCATAATCTTTTTTTTTTTTTTTTTTTACATTTTTTACATTTTCTATAACCCACTTACAATATTATCAAGACATCCTAATTTAGATGTAATATTTTCTATCCCGTTTCTAACCCTCTCTTTCAAACACGTGTTTTGATGGGCATTCAAGACACTGCTATGATTGGTTAACAGTTTTGCATATTCAAATATTTTTCAAAATCCAGCCATTACACATGTGGAATTGTTTTGAAAACTTTCAAAAAACAAAATTCAAAAAATTAGCCCGTATCACTGATACTAAAACAGCTGATGTCTCAATGAAAAATTAATTATAGCCATGCAACATTATAGTTCAATTGAAATATATCGATGTTTTGTTTTTTTTTTTAAATCATTTTAATTGAATGTTGAATTTTTTTTCAACATTTATTCAAAAAAAATATAACAAATTTTAATTTAATTGAATTAAAGCTATGTTCACATTACTGTCTACTCAACACTCTTTTTTGTATTGGGCCATCCTACATCATAAAAATATAATAAAACAGGAAAAACTCATTTCATGTTTTTTTTTTTACCTTATATCTTGAATTATGATGGCATTTTTGGTATTTTTATGATATTTTTGCCCCTATGTGACAGGACACAGTAAGAGTAGCGGACATAACACTATTTTAGTGGAAAGTTAATTTAAATGATCAATCTTAATAAATAAATGTGACAAACACACAAAATGTATCAATATTTTTCAAAATGCTTTTGAACTAAAAACCTGAAGAATTGTTTGTATTTTTGCCTCTTCGTATGATAAAAGACCAGATCAAATAAAACTGTTCATCCGAATACAGACAATAAAACTGTTCATCCGAAACATATTTTAAGATAGAATTAATGTGATTAATGTGGTTAAAACTATATAACTCATTATCTGTGTTCATTAAAATAGATCAATCAACACAAGATGATGTTTCTGTTTTATTTCTAATTATTGCATGAACAATCAGAACACAATATATTACACTTAGTAAATAATTAAATTACATAAATATATTTAATTAACATAAGATCTATTTAGAACACAATTTACCCTGACAAAAAAAAAAGAAAAACCAAATAAAATTATTTTATTTACACTAAGAGTTGTTCACTGGTGAAGCTTCAACTCTTAAGTCTTTCTACTTTTCATCAAACTCACGAAATTAAACAAGTTTAACTTTTAGGAAAAACACCATATTTTCTCACACGGTTTACTTCTGAGGGATTTGTCATGAAAACAAATGGTGTTCATGACATTTTTTCATATGTGTGAGAAAGCTTGGTAAATGTCTAAAACTCTTCTCACACTGAGTACAGTAGTACGGCTTCTCTCCAGTATGAATTCGCTCGTGTGTTTTCAGGTTTCCAGACTGAGTGAAACTCTTGTCACAGTATGAGCACTTGTGAGGTTTTACACCAGAATGAATTATTTGGTGCCGTTTCAGTTCACCAGATGTGGCAAATCTCTTCCCACAGTCACAACACACATGATCTCTCACTTCATCATGTGTTTTCTGGTGTCGTTTACAACTTTCCAGTCTTGAAAAACTCTTTCCACAGAGAGAACACTTGTGAGGCTTCTCGTCTGAATGAACTTTCAGATGTTTTTTGAGATACGATGATGAATTAAAATCCATCCCACACTGATCACAGTTGAATGGTTTTTCTTCAGAGTGAACGAGCAGATGAACACTGAGACCGGATGAATCTTTGAAACTCTTCTCACACTGAGTACACGGGTACGGCTTCTCTCCAGTGTGAATTCGCTCATGCACTTTCAGGCTCCCAGACTGAGTGAATCTCTTGTCACAGTATGAGCACTTGTAAGGTTTTTCTCCAGTATGAATCCTTTGGTGCAGTTTCAGGTATTCAGCTGTAGTAAAGCTCTTCCCACAGTCACAACACACATGATCTCTCACTTTATCATGTGTTTTCTGGTGTTGTTTAAAATGATCCAGCCTTGAAAAACTCTTTCCACAGACCGAACACGTGTGAGGTTTTTCACCTGAATGAACTAACAGGTGTTTTGTGAGATGTGATGATGAATAAAAACCTTTACCACACAGATCACAGATGAATAGTTTTTCTCCAGAGTGAATGCGCAGATGACTCCTGAGATTTGATGCTTGAGAAAAACTCTTTCCACACTGAGAGCAGGTGGGTTGTGTTTTGGCTTTTTCTCTTCGAGTTTTGAAATCACAATGTTCCTCCTTAACCTCATCTAGTTTATTTTCTTGCTTCACTTCCAGCCGTTCTAAAACAAAACATGTTGTGGTTAAGATCAGTTCAGGTGAACATGACTTAATAGTAGAAGGCAATAGAGATCAGGTATCTGTATAATAAAATGTCCAATCTTCGATTAGGCAAAGGTTAGTTCTGTCATTCTTGTGTGTATTAATACAATCAAAACATGCATGACAAAAGCTATGCAAGATCATCATCACTTAGATACACTTCTATATCTTAAATCTGTTAAACTTTAGTTTTTATGTTTCTCAGAAGTCAATGAGGAAGAATCGCAATTGGAAAAACGTTCCTGGGGCAACATTTCTGCAAAACATGTTCAAATACATAGGCTACATAATGCTGTAGTTTCCAACAAAAATTAAAACTAGAGGCAATAAAACAGCAAACACTTTTAATCCTTTAAAAATATATATTTGGGGCACATTATGCATTAATGAAGACTTAATTTCACACGGCTCCTTGCTAAATATTATTTATTGACCTGAAAAACACTTTTTACCGCAGTACATAATTAGTCAACGAATATTTTTATTTTTTTGCATCACATAAACAGCTTCATGTGTTCGGCTTTTCTGAGATGATAAGCTTGTTCAGAGGCTCAAATAATACAGAATTGTACTTGTGATGCCGAGATCTTGAATACGAATCCAATCAAGCACAAGTTACGACAAAAGAGCTCAACAACGAGAAAGAAGCTAAAATGGCATAGTTTGCGTTTATATAATATCACATTTTTTAACACTATCGGATAGGTTTAGGGTTTAATGCAGGTTTACGTTATTTTAAAACCTTCTACCACCATTCACCGGACAATCAATTCAAAACTGTTGTGATACGTACAAACACCAACGTTGCAAGAATAGCGTTAATGTCTTTCAGATAAATCGATGCAACATTACATAGTACACTTTTGCAGATTTTTTTTTTTTTAATTTTTTTTTTTTGCACAGATACGTTTTTCCAGTGATCCTGAGCTGAAGAATCAAGAATGGACACCAACCTGTTTGTTCCTCAGCATCTTTATGTTTTACTCTGGATGGTTCTGGATCAGTCATATCATCAATCTTCTCTTTAATAAACTCCATCTTTAACAGTCTCACAGATTTCAGCTGCTACTCCTGGAGTTTGTCCTTACCTTGTAGGATTATGGAAATATTCCTTGTAATAACAGATCAAACAAATAAAATAAAAAGTTACTAAATATATTTAAATGAAGTGATCGTTTCTGTTGGAATTATAAAGTAGTTTGATATTAATTAGATATTAAAAAATGCTGAAAAGCCTCTTGAAAAACTCTTTGCATGCCAACATATTATTACACGGACACTCTAATTAAATCAGGACAACCAACGCATTTCAATACATACACACTAAAACACGCAAAATCTGGAGCTGGTTAACGTAAACTCTGCAATCTTTCATCATCTCTCACCTGCAGACTGGGCATCAGAAGAAAATATATCACATTTGTCCTTCATTCACGATCGCAAGATAACGTCTTACGCTAATTTGCATTTTGCTTAGCCTACATCGTCTTTTGAATTCAGCCGACTGCCAGCCTTTAAAAATACATTTGTTTTCATCTATATTTTTCTGTTTCTGTTGTCAGACAACGGGACGAATATGAAATAGTGATTGAAACGAAACCATAGATGTTGACCGGTAAGTAATGATGACTCATGTAGGTCTACAGATGATCTATTTTCTTTTTTTTGACAGCTGACAACTCGACTCTCTTCTGCGCATGCTCAGTAAGCCCGGTCATTCTTCTTAAAGGGGCAGCATATTAATAGGACGCCATGAAGTGCATTTTTTTTTTTTTTGCATTCTCTGAGGTCCTCTTATAATGTTATCAAAATTTTTACATGACAAAAATCTTAATTTTAGAAGTAATATTTTCTATCCAGTTTTTAAACCCCATTTCAAACAACGTTTTCATATGTGTGCCACATTTAAGACTTGGAAGTAAATGGCTATGATTTGGTAACAGTTTTGCATATTAAAATATGTTCAACATCCACCCCATAACACATATAGACTTTATTTGAAAACTTCTGAATATCTTGTTACATAGTTAAAACATTTGCAAACAATGTGAAACAAATATGCGTATTACATATTGTGGCAAATAAAGTTGAGTTACCAGTTATAGTTGACAGGATAACATCATTTTGAGGTTATTCATAATTTTGAAACAGTGAAAATGTTTTTTTTTTTTTTTTTTTTTTTTTTTTAAAAAGGGATAAATCACAAATTTTTATGTTATATTAACAAAGTTCGGGAGGAGCACGTTCAGATCATTAACACAGGCGGAGAGCACTCAACAATCCCCAAACATATTTATCACAGTATTAAGATTGAATGATGAAAAGATCATTAATGTGATTAAAACTATATAACTCATTATATAGATCAATGGACAAAAGATATTGTTTCAAATAATTGCATTAACTATCATAACACCATGCATTACACTTAGTAAACAATATTAATTACATGGATATATTTAGTTAAAATAAGATTTTATTTACACTAAGAGTTTTTCACTTGTGAATTTCACCTCTTAAGCCAATCTAGTTTCACCAAACTCACAAAACAACACGTTAAACAAGTTTAACTTTTAGGAAAACCACCATATTTTAATCACACAATGTTTACTTCTGAGGGATTTTAGATGAAAACAAATGGTGTTCATGACATTTTTTCATATGTGTGAGAAAGCTTGGTAAATGTCTAAAACTCTTCTCACACTGACTGCAGTCGTACGGCTTCTCTCCAGTGTGAATTCGCTCGTGTGTTTTCAGGGATCCAGACTGAGTGAAACACTTGTCACAGTATGAGCACTTGTGAGGTTTTTCTCCAGTATGAATTCTTTCGTGCCGTTTCAGTTCACCAGATGTAGCAAATCTCTTCCCACAGTCACAACACACATGATCTCTCACTTCATCATGTGTTTTCTGGTGCCGTTTATAACTTTCCAGTCTTGAAAAACTCTTTCCACAGAGAGAACACTTGTGAGGCTTCTCGTCTGAATGAACTTTCAGATGTTTTTTGAGATATGATGATGAATTAAAATCTTTCCCACACTGATCACAGTTGAATGGCTTTTCTTCAGAGTGAACGAGCAGATGAACACTGAGACCGGATGAATCTTTGAAACTCTTCTTACACTTAGTACAGTGGTACGGCTTCTCTCCAGTATGAACTCGCTCATGCACTTTCAGGTTTCCAGAATGAGTGAAACTCTTGTCACAGTATGAGCACTTGTGAGGTTTTTCTCCAGTATGAATTTTTTGGTGCAGTCTTAGATATTCAGATGTAGTAAAGCTCTTCCCACAGTCACACACATGATCTCTCACGTCATTGTGTGTTTTCTGGTGTTGTTTAAAATGATCCAGCCTTGAAAAACTCTTTCCACAGACCGAACACGTGTGAGGTTTTTCACCTGAATGAACTTTCAGGTGTTTTTTTAGATCTGATGATGAATAAAAACCTTTACGACACAGATCACAGATGAATAGTTTTTCTCCAGAGTGAATGCGCAGATGACTCCTGAGATTTGATGCTTGAGAGAAACTCTTTCCACACTGAGAGCAGGTGGGTTGTGTTTTGCCTTTTTCTCTTAGAATTTTAAAATCACAATGTTCCTCTTTAACTTCATTTTCTTGCTTCACTTCCAGCCGTTCTAAAACAAAAAATGTTGTGGTTAAGATCAGTTCAGGTGAACATGACTTAATAGTAGAAGGCAATAGAGATCAGGTATCTGTATAATAAAGTGTCAAATTTTCGATTAGGCAAAGGTTAGTTCTGTCATTCTTGTGTGTATTAATACAATCAAAACATGCATGACAAAAGCTATGCAAGATCATCATCACTTAGATGCACTTCCATATCTTAAATCTGTTATGTTATGTAATCAGCTAATTAACTCTAAACACCTCCAAAGGCCTTTAAATGGTCTCTCAGTCTAGTTCTGACACAATCATGGGGAAGACTGCGGACCTGACAGCTGTCCAAAAGATATATATGGGGCAAATTATGGATTAATATAAACTTAATGTCACCCAGTTCCTTGAAAAATATTATTTAATGACCTGAAAACACTTTTTACCGCAGTGCATAATTTGTCAGCGAATACATTTTGGAGTTTGCGTCACATAACACGTTTGACCTTTCTGAGATGATAAGCTTGTTCAGAGGCGATACAGAATTGTACTTGTGATGCCGAGATCTTGAGTACGAATCCAATCAAACACGAGTTATGACAAAAGAGCTAAAATATGACTAGAAAGAAGCTAAAATGTCATAGTTGCGTTTTTTTTAACACTATCGGGTAGGTTTAGGGTTTAATGCAGGTTTACGTTATTTTAAAACGTGATGGACATTTTCCTTTTACCGCCAATCACCGGACATTCAATTCAAAACTGCTGTGATACGTACAAACACCAACATAATAAAACATTGAAAGAATAGCGTTAATGTCTTTCAGATAAATCGCAAAACGCCCATGATGCAACGTAATATAATTTTGCAGAAATGTTTTTGTTGTTGTTGCACAGATACGTTTTTCCAATGATCCTGAGCTGAAGAATCAATAATGGTCACCAACCTGTTTGTTGCTCAGCATCTTTATGTTTTACTCTGGATGGTTCTGGATAACTCATGTCTTCCTTCTCCTCTTTAATAAACTCCATATTTTTCAGTCTCACAGATTTCAGCTGCTACTCCTGGAGTTTGTGCTTATACTGCAGGATGATGGGAATATTCCCAGTAAGAACAGATCTAACAAATAAAAAAAAAAGAAGTTACTAAATATATTTAAATTAAAGTGATCGTTTCTGTTGGAATTATGAAGTAGTTTGATACAGTTAGATATTAATTGCATTTAAAACAAAGATTTGTTTCATTTTTGTCCAAAGTTTGAGCCATCCTGTTTAATTGGCTTTATGCACAGCTGCACTACTTCCTGAACTTAAGCCAGTTCCTTGTTTCCTGTCTGCCATTATT